CAATTTAAAGCTGAACTGCAAACCTAACCCATAAGACTTTGAAAGCAAAGCTGCAGTCAGAAATCTGCCAGGCTGTACTGAGCACAGGGCTGCATTAAGGGACTCACCTCCTGTTTTACAAGCTGCAGCATCCAAAACCCAGGGAAACAAGAGCCTGTAGTTACCACCAGCATTTAACTCATGGGTAAATGCAAATGCACACAATATGATGTGATGGCATGCATAACAATGCACGAGTGGTCCTGTGACAGGGGGATACAAGAATGTGGCTCACAACTGCCCACGTGCCCCTGCCATAGGTGAGCAATACTTGCCACCCAAAATGTACATGCCATTTTGCAGGGCAGGAGTGTCTCTACCTGTGGATGTTTTTTCTTGAAAGTGTTGATTGTTTTAACAGCAAAGAATTAGAATAACAGATGTGCTGGTACCTGCCAGCATTTTAAACACTGTCACGTGGTCCTGCCCTAAATGGCTGAAGGCAACAGAATTCTTAAAAGGCCAGCAGTCACTCACTCATGCCAGCAGTTTTAACATCTGAAGAAACAGCTGCATTAGCAGTGAGGAGAGTTTCAGAGGTGTGGGCTAAATGCAGCAGCTGAGAGCCTGTGAGCAGAAGGCAGGGACAGCACAGCTGGATCTTTACCTCGGGGCAGATGAGAAGCTCCAATGTGCAGTGGAGGCCCAGGAGCACTGCTCCTGATGATGGACATCTGCACGTTGGTGGCCATGATATGATGCAAGTTACTGGGATGCCCCTGCAGAGTACAAGAACAAAACAAGTCAGCTGTGTTGACAAAAATCAGTGGCCATAGAATCACCATATCTCAGCCTCAGAGACAGAAAAGAGATTTTGGAGAAATATTTGGTGTACCAAGGCTGCATGCACTAAAAGCTGAGTGGAGAAAGAGGCAGGTGTTTGTACAGGATAAAGTTACAGAGCCTGCTGCCACTGGAAGATGCAAACACTTCTCTGTTTCACTGGTGTGTTTTGATGGTTGGTACTTGGGTGACAGTCACCCAGCAGCCACCCACAAACAGCCACAGAGTTGTCCCTTCTAGCATTGGTGACATTAAGGCATAGTTTCATACCACCTCTCCAATAAAGTTGAGAGAATGGTGGAAACCTGGCAAATGCTGGAACAAATTCTACTTTTTTATAATTCTAGACCTCCCAGGGTTATTAATGTAAGATAAATCCACTGGAATTGCTGCACATCCTTAGCCAGACTAACTCAAGTCCACCTAAAGGCACTTTATATAAAAACCCTGAGAGGCTTAGTAATGACTGTTCTGACAAACTGTTTTCAAACCAACAGGGCTGGCTCTGCAGCCAAGTTAGAGGTAAAAAAAAATCAAATCATTATTTATACAGACTCCCTCAAATTTTGTCTCCCCTAGTTCAGTAAGAACACAGTGCAAACCCATGAACTGTTCACTGGTCTCCTCTGATCTCCTCCCAGAGAAGCTGAAGAACCCTGCAATAATGAATGCCAGCACTTTCTCTACAGTAGAAATTCTCCAAGTGACACTGACACAGCAGGAGCTTTTAGGGAAAGACCCAGCTTTTGGGTATGGCTCTGCCATCACAGTCTGGCTGTGCTATCCAGCTGGATGATCCCAACAGATCAGCAGCTTTGTGAGGAGATGGTGATAACCAAGCCTGAAGTTTAATGGTCCAGGCAGAACTGATCCAACAACCAGCAGCACTGAATAGGGAAACCTGCTCTCTTTACATTCCCTCCTGCTGCAAAAGCCCACCTCAGCTGTACTTGTATTGATCTGAACATGCAGTGAGATGGAACAGAAAAAAACACCAAAAAACCAGACCTGTTGCCCACTGATGGTTGCCACAGGGATCGTTGGAGCCTGTGGTATGCTGCTTTCCATGGTCACAGTCACTTGCCCAGGGACCTTTGTGGGAGCTGAGAGAGTGGAGGGTGGAGCAGGAGCAATGGGCCGGCTGGGCATGGTGGGCTTCAAGGGAGGCTACAAGAAATGGAAAGACAGAAACATTGGCAACTTGAAATGAGAGCCCAGTGTTGAAAGAGCAATCATTCTGTGGGGTCAAAGCCTGAGGAGAAAGTTTATGTAAGTATGGCTAAATATTTGGAGAGGAAAGATACTGCACATTTGGTTATTCCAAACAAAGAAAGGGCATATTTTGTCCTGGAAATATGCAAGTTCTGGCATGGGTCATCAGTGGAATCTCTCAGGGCACTGGTATTGCCCTACAGACACTGGATACTAAACAGTTAACTTTATATCCTGCAGAGAAAATGGAAGACCTCAGAAACTGATTGAAATCACTGTTCTCCTCAAAGATAAACAAAATAATGCTGAAACACTAGCAAGTCTTCAGGGTATCATCTGGATCAGCCAAACCCACAAAGCACTGCACAGTTAGCAGAAGCAGGCAAGGAAAGCTTTAGAGTCAAAAGCAGGGAAAGTTTTGGTCTAATTTACTTTTTATCAACACTGACTCATACAGTTTGTATTTTTCCCCCCAATGAATCCTTTCATTACCTTCATAAGTCCATCTGAAAAAGAAAGTGGCACAGCTGGAGTCAAATGTGCTGGTGGTGCTGTCACTGTCACTGGGGCACCAGACTGGACAGGGTGGTGCTGTGTCAGCATCTGGACCTGTGGGTATGGCCGGACCACCACGGGCTCCTGCTTCTCCTCCCGGGGCTGGATGGAGCCACTGGGGCCCATGTGCTCCCTGGGAGCAACTTCTGGCTCACGACTGGATTCGTCACTCACTAGGGAGAAACAGAGAAAAAGGTCACAATTGTTACAAAGTTCGCTTTGGTCACCCACTAGGTCAGAGATGAGACATGGGAAATATCAAAATTAAAGAAGTTCAGCTTTACAATTAAACACATTTCAGTGGAGAACCAGGGAATTCTGGCGCTGCTTCTATCTGTTCCCCTCAGAACTGATGGGCTGGGCAATGCTGGGGCAACCTGGGGTCAACTCTGAGAAGTCCAACTAAACACCTTCTTTAAACACAGACTAACTTTTCTTTCAAGTGAAAAGTATTTAATTATCTAAGTAACTGCCATTAAATCCCAGATCAACCAGCATGAAAAATTGCACATGCAATGCAATATGTATCTGAACATCAAGCAGAGGACAGGTATAAAACCTCCTGAAGATGAAGCTGCTCCCCCAGTCACTTCTGAAAACCTGTCACCGCGGCAGGGACAGCAGGAGCTGGGATCACAGCTCCCGCTCCATTTCCAGCTCCACGAGATGCTCCCATGGCCGCTCGTCACTTCTGCTACGAACACAGAGGGCCGAGCTGAGCGGGACAGGCAGCAAGGGCAGCCAAGGTCCCGGTTCTGCCGCCGCTGTCCCGAGCCGCCCCCGGTGCTCTCGGCCCGCGGAACCGCGGCAGCTTCCAGCGCGGTCCGCGGGGCCGCCTCGCTCCTCCCGCCCGAGGCGGCACAGCGCGGGGCGGGGCGGGGTCCCCGGGATCGCTCCCGCCCCCGGAGCGCGGACGCGGGGCCGGGATGGCGCTTACCTGTGGCGGCGGGGGCGATAATCCCGGCCGAGCCGCTGGTGGGGATGGGCGGCGGCGCTGGTCCCAGCGGGGCGGGAGGCGCGCCCGAACGGGGGAACTGCTGCGAGCTCATGTCACCTGCGGGTGTGCAGCGCGGCCGTTATGTCGCGACACGCCGGGCCCGGCCGCCCCGACCTCCCTCCGTCCCTCCCGCTCTCCGGGCGCGGCCCCGCGGCCCCACCCACCCAGGCGCGCCCGCGCGGGCGGGTTCGCGCGGCGCCCGGCCAATG